GAGTTGAAATTTTTCCAAATAAACTGAGGGAACTATTATTTCAACCATTAATGCAAGGGCTACTGCTCAACATGCTTTTCAAGATACTTTACATTGTTAATCATTTTTGTATACTCATTGCATGGCAAATATTACAGTATCTCATGTGTCACAAACAGATGCTTATTCTTAGCTATGATATCCCAGTGCAGAGATTCCTAGACTAAAGATTGATATGAAATTACAAGCAAAATTATAAATGCAAGATACATTTTTCTGAGAAAATGTTTTGTGGCTTTCCTCATATTCTCAAAGGGGTCTGTGACTCAAATTTGAGAACCACTGTCCTAAAAGGTAAGGACTCACAACCCCTCAGACCACAAGGTAAAATTTAAATAAGAAGGTACAAAAACAATGTTGTCAAATCTTGGGGGTCATGGCAATCATAACACTAAAAGTACAGATGAATGAAAACCAGAGATAATTTCTACCCTTTACTTTGGAAAAATCTTTTAAAAGTGATTGGACTAAATAGAAAAGTAGACTAATTTATATTTCAGTTTCTTCTTGCCAACTGTTCTATAAAAGTCGGGCTGATAGGTGAGAGACATGCAATCTCATCTAAGAGTGCTGAGTGGCGACTGATTGCTTCCAGCATAAAAATCAGATTCCTTTAAAATAATTTCATGGTGGTATCATCCCCATCACCTTCACAGTACCAGGCGCTATAATAGACATTTTATATATTAGTCTCTTAATTCTCACCACCACTCTCTAAGGTTGATATCCTCATTTTATTGAGATGAGAAAACTAAGCCTCAGAGAAGTTAAGCAAATTGCCCAAGGCCACAACATTTGTCCCTGGCAAAGATCTGAAACCCAGTTCCTGCAGACTAGTGTTTATTCTAATATATTACACTTCTATGATCATTTTTCTACCAAACTGCTAATTCATAACATTTCCAAATTGGTTTTTCTTGTGGAAAATTTCAACCTGCGTACAGCTTAGTCACTAGTACCTTCAAAATTTTACACTAGCCCTTCTATTTCTAAACCACCAAAATACACTCTTTTACTCTTTAAACTTAAACTTTAAAAATCACCTGTTCCAGAAGGACTCCCCTGATAAATCCCTTCTGGGCCCATCACTCCATCACTCCCATGGTGACGCAGCACTATCTAAAGCCAGAGAATAATTTGTTTAGATCCTCACGTTGCCGTTTATTAACTGTATAACCTTCGGTAAGTCACAAAACCTCTCAAATGCCCCCATCGGTAAATTAGGAGACTTGGAATTTGAAGATTGAAAACTGTCAGTCTGCTAACTAATACAGCCTGCAGAAAAGTTGTATTTGGTCAGCAGCATTTTTCTTAACCCAATTCAAGGCCTTCAGATGAGGAATGTACTCTACTGACTGTCTGACTACCACAGGCCCTACAACTTGTTCATTGTACATAGATCACTTCTAGTTCATTCATTTCTAGTCCAGTGCCTCAATGCAATTAAGTTCCCAATCACTGAATCGGATGATCTCTAAAATTTTACATAGTTACCATGAGCATTGTTTATACCTTTCCACTTAGTTTTCATACAGTCATTTTCCCCAATAGAAAGTCTGGAATGGGGATTCATAAAATTATATCATAATTTCAGAAATGGAAAGAGTCTTAGAGCTTATCCAGCAAAATCCAACATTCTTACATCATGACACAGATGAAAAGACTAAAGCCAAACTGCTTAAGTTTCTTGCTCAGAGCTTCCTAGTATAAGTTGGTGCAAGACAATTCAAATCAACAAACGTTACCAAAATATTTATTTTGTGTTAGACCCTATGCTGGAACTACAAAAAGGAACAAGAACTGTCTCTACCTCTCAAAGATACATAAGCTAGTAAAGGGCACAGATACATATACATGAAGCCATTATATTACAGAAGACACACATGCTAGAGGGAAAAAAATTAGTTTCTTTCTGTTTTAGAGAGATCTGAGAAAACTTCCTGAAAGGGAAACATCTGAGCAGGGGTTTGAATAATGGGCAGGACTGCTGTTACAGACAGGAAGTGTGGGCACAGCAGGAAAAGACAAGAAGTAAATGCACAGCACATTCAGAAAAAGTAAGTAAATCATATGGCTAGGTGTGGAGTGATAGAAGATAATCTGAGAAAGTAAAGAGTAGACAAATCCTGAGAGCAAGTGCTTCTTATTTTCTTCATTCACCTTTTCACCCCGCTAGGACTCAAAAATCTAGGACAGGGCTAAACACAACAGGAATTCAATAATAATTCATACTAATAGAAACACTAATGGCAGCTAGGATTTAGAGTGAAATTATTACATGCCATACATGTACTAAACATTTCATATGTGTTATCTCATTTAAACCTCACTAAAAAAAAAAAAATCTATGATAGGTACCAATATTACTTTTCTATCACATAAGAGATAATTGAAACTTATAAAGGATAAATAACTTTTACAAAATCACGCAGTTAAAAAAATGGATTCATACTCAACTTATCTGTCTCAAAAGCCTATGAACTAAACCAAGATAAATGCTAACAAATGCACCAACCAGAAAATTTACAATCAGATTACCAATCTCCAAACATCGATAACTGTATTGGAGAAGAGGGACAATGAGTAGAGGACAGGGAAAGGTTCCAGCTACACTGCATTCTTTAACTTTAAAGAACACTTTAGTCCTAATGCCACAGCATGCTCTGATGAGTACAGTATAAAGCTCCAAAACTTCCTATAACTGAGTGGCCTTGGACAAGTTATTTTACGTTTCGGGGCTTCAATATTCTTTTCTGAAAAATGGATATAACAGTACCTACTCCTAAGATGTTATAAGAATGAGATAATGCATATAGAGCACTTAACACAGTGTTAGGCACGATGTAAACCACTACTGTCTACAACACAGTCCCTGCCCACGTAAGCAAGTAACCAGAGATGTAACTAGAAAAGCTGGACGCTCCCATATGGAGATGAAACAAATCTAACCATGTCCCGTAGGTGAGAAGAGATTGTTCAGAAAACACATTTACAGTGGCCCTTGGGCAATGGGTAATTCTGACCCCTGCAGGGCTATGTAATAAGGTAGCAGAAAAATAGGGTGACTCGGGCTGTCTTCTTCGCTTCACTGGCGCCAGAGCTTCAAGCATAGTCCCGGACCCAGGCGCTCAGTAACTGACTAACACACTAGTAAGGAGGCCTCGGGCACTTCTGAGACTCCGAGGCGAGAGACTTACCCCAAGGCCAGCTTCCCCCGGCTCCTCAGGTTCTGTATACATAACGCACCTGCAACATCAACACAAGCCGTCAACTCAGACCCCACCTCGATTCCCTTCTGGAGCTTTACCACTAAGAAATCCTTACCCAACCGTCCCAGTACTGCCGCCGCCATCTTTCGCCTTCCCCTACGGAAGCCTCCGAGTTCAAACATCGGCGGGGCAACACGCATGCGCAGTACTCCAGCGTTCCTCCCCGCCGGGAAACCCAGCCTTAGTTACAACCGCGGAGTTGTCATGGAGACCGCGAACACGCTGCAGTCGCTCAAGCTGTGGTCAGAGCAGCCTTGCTTGGGAATGAATGACTTAATAAAGGCCAAAAACTAAGGTGCTTTCGGAAATTCACCTGGGTCCAGAAAAATTGTGAAGCCTTACCTCATAAATGATCTGAAAGGCGTGGGGAACAGAGTTCATGAACAAGACGCCTAACCCTGGGGGAGGGCCTCAGTTTTCTTGTCAGAAGTAACTATTTCTAAGGCATAAGTTTGTTGTAAAGATCACTTCCGGTCGTGTGAAACCTCTTTTAAAGAACGAATGGTTCAAATGTGATGTATGATGTTCTAATCCCTACTAATCTCCTGGTTGACCTCCAAGAGATCAACCAAGAGAGTTAATATTCATCAGGCACTTACTACCATATATATCCATCAGACATTTCACTAAATCTCATTTATTCCTCACAGCGATCCAACAAGGCATGGATTATCATTTGGTTAAAGTATCTTAGCTAACAACTGGCAAAACCAGTGGTCAATCCAGAGCTGGGTGCCTCCAAATTTGGTGCCCCTAGACGCATTCAAATATGTTTGACCTCTCTATATTGAGGATAGGTATTTTATGTTTCTATTTGCCACATATGCAGGAGTGCCCGATATCCAATATAAACAAGCAATACAGGGGTAGTGCAGAATCTGAGCATTTTAGCATGTTGAAAGTTGGAAGGAAAATTCTATTCTTTTTCTTCCACAGCACTTACCACATAGGATTCCGTTTACAAGCTGGCGCTCAAGCAAGCAAATCAAAAGTCACTCCATTTGCTTCTTTTTAATCTTTGAGTACCAAGTACCCAGAGACAAAATTTCCAACCAGTTGCAGAAGCTGTTCCTTTCTTTCTTGATTCCAGATTAGTAAATTTTTCTTTTGTTAATTGGCTTCTTGTATATATCTTTCAATCATTTCCACAACTAGCAAAGTCCCCTGCCACATAGCGTTCAAAAAATAATTCCAGCACTCTGGGAGGCTGAGGTAGGAGGATTGCTTGAGGTCAGGAGTTCGAGACCAGCCTGAGCAAGAGCGAGACCCCCCCCCCACCCCGTCTCTACTAAACATAGAAAAATTAGCCGGGTGTGGTGACGCGTGCCTGTAGTCCCAGCTACTCAGGAGGCTGAGGCAGGAGGATCGCTTGAGCCCAGGAGTTTGAGGTTGCAGTGGGAGGTAGCTCCACGGTCCAATCCGCTCATATTGTGCCTTGCTGTGCGAAGTGAGAACGTCTAACCCCGGAGCTGGGCTTACGCAACACCAGGCGCTCGCCAGGGTTGGGGCGGACCTCCTGCGGCAGGCTAAGCTGGGCAGCAGAGCGCTGCGCGCGCGGCCCCACCCTTCCCATCCCAGGGGCGGCGGGAACAGAGCGCGCTGTGCCGGCTGGGCCTCCGTGCGCGCCGTAGCGGCGGCCCGAAGAGGCGGGGCTCAGAGTCCGCCCCGCCCCGCTTCCCGGCTGCGGCGTGGGGCTTGCGAACTGCCTGCCCCTGTGACTGCTTCCTTCAGCTCCGGCGGCCTGTGGCAATGGGGCAAGAACCGCGGACGCTGCCGCCTTCCCCCAACTGGTACTGCGCCCGCTGCAGCGATGCCGTGCCCGGGGGCCTCTTTGGCTTCGCGGCGCGTACCTCCGTCTTCCTAGTCCGCGTGGGCCCGGGCGCCGGCGCGAGCCCTGGGACTCCCCCGTTTCGAGGTAACTCCCCAACTCCGGGCCCTAGCCTTTCTGCGCTCCCTGGGGGCGCCTAGGGGGGCATCTCCAGCCACTCCTTTTTCTACAGATTGGGAAATTGAGGTCCAGGCAGGGAGAAGAGTCTGTCCACAGCCCCTAAGCTGAGTTGCATCGGGTCGCCAAGAATGAACTACACCACCAGGCTGTGGCCGACCTGTCCCGCCTCCCGGAGCTTGCACGTGGGACCGCTCGCTTACTGAAAAGTTAGCCATTTATAACATCTATGGCTTCGTTCGCCCACCCAATGTGCCCTAGCCCCCAGGGAACCTTCTTGGGATTGAGGGCTGCCTATAGCTGCAGATCTTAAGCAAGATCCTGCAAATATGTGACACTCATTTCTGTATGATGGATGGGTTGAGCCGGACGCTTTCAGGCTCCAAACTAGGCTTTGATTGTGCCTTGTGATATGATGTGCCAGATACTTATTTTATTCTAAACGACTTCTGGGCAGATTTAAATAAGAATCACTTTCACAGTCCTCATTTGAGCTGCTTCCCAGCCTGTGAATTAAGCACAGCAAGCGTTATCAACATTGTTTTACGGTTGAGAAGACAGGCTTAAAGAGATAAAATGGCTTGTCTGAAGTGTCCTGACAGAGCCAATACCAGCACTTGGGAGTTCTGGTAGTGAGTCCGTGGATATTTTTGTTATACCCTGGGTTAAGTAACTCCACAACATCTGCTTACTCATCATCCAACAACACTATGATTCTTCTAGGAATCTTGGCTAGCACTTTAATTAACCTAGGGTCTCATTTTGCTTGAAGTCATAGGAGAGTTGGTGGGACACACGGAAAGAGTCTCTGGCTTCACATTTTCTCATCACCCTGGTCAATACAACCTCTGTGCCACCAGCTCCGATGATGGGACTGTGAAAATCTGGGATGTAGAGACAAAAACAGTTGTGACAGAACATGCACTCCATCAGGTATGGTGGCTTACTGGTTTCTCAGACCGTTTTTATGTGTCTGTGTTGAGGGTTCTTCTGCTTCAACTAGAGTTTCGCTAGCTCATCTCTGCAAGGCAACTTGTATAATTGTGTTTATTAATTAGATAAAAAAAACTCTCTGTTGTAGGGCATCTCAACTTTTGCTAAAGGAGATGCATATAAACCAGAGGTTGGCAAACTGCTGTGCCACCTGTTTTTGCCAGTAGTTCTATGCATTTAAGTCTTGTCAGTGGCTGCTTTCATGCTACAACAGTTGAGTAGATGAAACAAGAACGATATGGCCCTCAAAGTCTAAAACATTTACTCTCTGGTTATTTACGTAGAATAGACTTCTGATATAAACTGTAAATGTGTGAATGAAATTCATTTTTAAACTAGGTGGTTACTTGATATAGCTGCCTCTTGAGAGAACAAAGGAAAGAGAAAGACCTACTTAATCTTTGTAAGAACTTTGCATTAAGCTATTAAAGGAAGAAAAATATTTTTAATGATTCTTTGGTCCTCAGCAGTTTAAATTTTCATATCATTTTATTAATATAGTGTTGCTGTACAAGTAGTGCTAACAGGTCTTTATTAAGTACCTCTAATACACCTAGCATTATGCTGGTTTATGATATAGGTAAAAAATTAAGTAAAAATTCAGCATTGACAAATGAGAAACATACACTTTGTTTTGTTTTAAAGCATACGATATCAGCATTGCATTGGTCTCCTCGAGTAAAGGACTTAATAGTATCTGGGGATGAAAAAGGAGTAGTTTTCTGTTACTGGCTTAACAGAAGTGACAGCCAGCACCTCTTTATAGAGCCCAGGACAATTTTCTGTCTTACGTGTTCACCTCATCATGAAGATTTAATAGCCATTGGGTAAGTACTGTGCCAGCTGTCCTGATGACTTATTTTTGTTTATGATCGTATTTTACATTTGCTTTACCTTCTCCCATCCTTTCATTCCTCAAGGGAAACCATCTACAGATGTTAACTGCTTCCCCTGAGCCCTTGGCATCATTTATTCCTACATATACTTACTATCTGTCCCACACCCTCTCTTTGTTTTTGTTTCTTTGGTTTCCTTGATACTGTACTTTCCTCATTCTTCATTTTTGATTCCTCCAGTCAACCTCCAAATGTAGAAAATGTCCTCTTTCACCTTTTTCTCCCACTATTCTGCCCTTAGATATAATGCAAACTCCCAGAGTGTCATATGACTCTGCTCTGTCTCTCTCGTTCTGAGCACTCCCTCAAGATTGAGAAAGTGATAGGGCATTGAGATCTGTGTCCTCACTGATGACCAAGGTTGTTTCACGTGAACTGTCTAAATGGACATCTCTTTTTCCCTTACCACTTCATGTACTTCTCGCCCAAAGATGTCTCTTCCCTCCAGTTTGAAGACTTGACATAAACAACTTCAGAATGCTGAAGGAGAAAGTCTGACTGGAGTGGATTCAAGAGACTGGGGCGGGGGATAAGGTCATGGAGATACACAGAGACAATTTTTCAAAAAATTTGCTGTAAAAATGTGCATAGATATGAAGCCACAGGAATGTTAAATGGAAGATAGCAAGGGCATGTTTTTATATTGCTAGAAGTACAGCTTAAAAGAGGGAGAGCATGTCGTGGGAGTAAACTGATAAATACAGGAGTGATGTTAAGAAGTAAGAAGGGGATTGGATTCAGATGACATGTAGAAAGAACAGGTGAGAATATGGAAATAGGTGCAGGTTGGTTGGTAGAACTGTTTGAAAGAGGAGGGTGTTCCATTTTATGGCTTCTGATTTTCTCAGGCATAAGTAAGAATGGTGGAGTCAAGTTCAGGATGGGGTTATAATTGGATACGGGAAGAAAGTATGAAAACAGTCATCTCACAATATAGGAAAATGAACTTACTAAGGGAAATTTTAGGTCCAGTGTTTACTGTTGAGTGCCACACTAAGGATCATGGTCATGAATTTAAAGTAAACTACTCAAACTGATTAAGAAAGGAGATGGTTAGACTCAGCCAGGTTTGGAGTTTTGTGGAGTAAATACCCCTGAGGGAGAAAGAGACAAGGGCAATAATAGTGTTTTTCAAAAGTGATTAGAATGATGGATCATGAAGTCTGTGCAGCATGGGGGAAGTATAGGGAAACAAGTATGGGTGAGTGATAGTGAAAATATAAGGCAGTCTGTGGATCAGCGGTCTCATGAAGTGGGAGCAGTGTTGCAGTGAGGGTGCTAGAGTAAGCAGATAGAAGATCTTCAGTGATTATTCCCAGAAAGTTTGATACAGATTTCAAAACTGGTTGATCTCATGACAGTTGGATTGTATTACTTGGTGATTTTCAAAGTCTAGTCTTCAGAGGTTGACATATTCTATTATTTATTTTTCTTCTTTTTTCAAAATAAAGCAGTGCTAGTATTTTTCCCTGTAGATTTGTCTAATGTGTAGGACATATGAATAGATACAACCTCTTTGGAGAGTGTAATTTTGTACTTTCTAGTAAAGCAAAGACACATGTATCTTACATCCTGGCAGTTCCATCACTAGGCATCAAACCTGAAATTTTCTTAAGTATGTACAAGAACATTAATAGCATTTTTTGTTTGTTATTGCAATAAATGGAAGCCCTTCAAAAGGAAAATGAATAAATTGTGGTGTATTCACACAATGTAATACTAATACAATAGTATAAATGACTGGCCAGGAACTAGAGTTACATGTATCAACATGGATGACTCACAAACAGAATGAGTGAAAAAAGCAAGCTACAGAAAGACAGACTGCTCGATACCATTTATATGAAAGTTTAAAGTATACATTGTATATTGTATATATTAGGAATACAAACAAAGAAAAGCTAGGAATGATACAACACAAAATTCGCAAATGGTGATTTACCTCTGGATAAAGGAAGAGACGAGGTCTGAGAAGGAGAGATTTGATTGAGGTGGGATATTCAGAGGACTTCAGCTCTACTGGCAATTAATTTTTTTCTTAAACTGGGTGGTAGATACTTTTTTATGTATGTGAAATAATTCATTTTTAAAAGGCTATTAGTATTTCTCAGTTTCTTCTGAATTCATAAAACAACAGCCTTGAAATATGCAGGTCCGGAGTATAGAGCTCTGCAGCTTTTGTTAAGGTCACAGTTAGAAAAGTGATATCGCTTGTAAAAAGGAGATTTTTTTTTTTTTTTTCAGTGCACTAGGACAAATTTGTCTCTAATTAGAAGAGTTGCTGGACGCCTATAAGAACTATTTTTTATAAGTTCCCTCAGAACAAAAGCATGCTCTACTGTTGAGCTTTGTACCAGGCAACGTATACAGTATTACTTAGTGACAAGTGTTTGATCGTGGAGGAGTGTTTTAACAAAACCAGGAAGCATGAAATGAACACTTTAGAAAAAGGACAAAACAAAATTATTTTTGTTCCCTTCTCCCCCATCCCCAATGCACCTTTTAGAAATGCACAATAGTAACTTCTAAGCCAAAATGTTTACTGGAGAGACTATTCTGTCTTAATTTTTCAGTGATATTTATAACTCTTTGTTTTTTCAGCTACAAAGATGGCATAGTGGTTATAATTGATATCAGTAAGAAAGGAGAAATTATTCACAGGCTTCGAGGCCATGATGATGAAATCCACTCCATAGCCTGGTGTCCCCTGCCTGGTGAAGATTGTTTATCCATAAATCAAGAGGAAAATTCAGGTAGGGTGGATTTAAGGGAGGGTTCAGTACTCATTAGACCTGAGAAACAAAATGGGTAGAAGTGTATCATTTGAATTATATGTAAAACTTTAGATTTTATAGATCAGACATATGAAAGAGGTAGCTAAGTTTTGGGAACTCTTGCAAACTAATTTTTCTTTGACAAGTACATGTTTAATGCAAATTAACAAAATTACCATCTCTCTCCTAGAAGAACCTGAAATTCCCAATGGGAAAGCTACAGCACAAACTCCAGTAACAAAAGGCTGCTACGTAGCCACTGGAAGTAAAGATCAAACCATTCGAATCTGGAGCTGCTCTAGAGGCCGAGGTGAAATTCATGTTTGATGTTTCTATTGGGATGTAACCTATGTTGATCCCATAGAAGTAGAAGCTTTTGTTCTGTGTTATTGTCCAGAGGGTGTGTCATCTGTCTGAAAGCAGTTCTTTACTGTGCAGAGATTTGCTTCCCCAATTGAGCCTGGGCTAGTAGAACTCTCTGTTTTCTGAACATCTGGCTTTAAAGTTGGATATGAGAGTTTCTGATGCATTGTCGGAGAAGGCAAGGACCCCTGCTTTGTAGAGGGATCACTGTTTGCCATGGAAAACAAGACATTTGTTATAAGAGCAGGAATATTAGAACATAGCAGGGTCTGGATCAGAGGAATGGAAAAGGTCTCGGGAGTTAGAGCTTTTAATACAAAAATGCAGAATAAATAATATACACCCAGCATAGAAGCCTTTGTTTAAATGTAAAATCTTAGTTTATCCAAATTATGGAGACTCTCAGTCATTTAGCTTTCCCAAGCTTCTCTTTGACAGAGCTTTTACCTTTAAGCTTCTAAATTGAGAGAAACTCCAGGCAGAATGAATATTACCTTTATAATAAAAGATATCACCTTTCTCTTTTTAGTGGCTTCTCTTCTTTCTCCACTTTTCCCCCCATTTTTTTAAATTGTGGTAAAACATAAAATTTATCTTCTTAACCACTTTTAAATGTACATTTAAGTGCTAATATACATTTATAATGTTACGCAGCCGTCACCACCATCCATCTCCAGAACTCTTTTGATCTTGTAAAATTGAAACTCTATACCCATTAAACAGTAACTCTCCATTCCCCTTCCCACTCCATTGGCTTCATCAGTCGTAACTAACAGTATAATTTTGGAAGACAACTTTTTTAAGGTTTGTAGACTACTTTTGGACATACTATAGTTAAAACTCCAAATGGGAACATCAGGCTGAGAACCCCTCCAGAAGGGTAACCTCAAACAATGTATGTCTAGCACAATGGCCTTTAATTGCAGTTGTGCAGCAGAATCACCTGGAGAGTTTTTGGAAAAGGTGGGTTTCTGGACCCCCACCTCAGATCTACTGAATCAGAATCTCTAGGAGTTGGGCCCTGGCATATTTATTTTTAAAAGCTCCACCTGTGGTTCTGATATATGGTATACATTAAGAACCACTGGTTAGTAGTGTGTTGGGGGTGAAGAAATTTCCTTGCCACACATGGTGACCGCCAAATTTTCCTCTGTTGGATTTCTTGGCAACTAGAAGTAATGTCAGCCTCTGTCTTTCCAACTTTGGCATTGTGTTACCACTTTTGGGTGTGTAGCCTGGTTGGGTTACCACGTGGGTTCTCAATTCTAGTTGGGAACTCATTTTCTCAGACAAAAAATATTCTTAATGTGTGTGACATTCGATAAAGGCTTATTTGACCTAAATGTAGCTAGACTAGTATTAACCACTATTTATGATGATATTTCCATGGGAAAATGAGATCTAAATTCTAAGTAACCAGACTAACAAACTTTTAAACCATGGACTGTGTATTGTGAACTGCTGGTGACTTCACACATGTAGTTCATTGTGTTGAGGGCCCAGTGACCTTCTTTTAATCTGCAGGGGTGATGATTTTGAAATTGCCCTTTCTGAAAAGAAGAGGAGGGGGTATAGACCCAACTGTTAAGGAGCGCCTTTGGTTGACACTCCATTGGTCCAGTGATCAGCCAACACAGCTGGTATCCAGCTGTTTTGGGTAAGTCTTTTTGGTTATGTTTTCTCCAGTATACATTTGTTTTCCTATTTGGCCTCAGGGATTCCTAGGCTTCTCTTTGCAGATACAAAAGATGGAGAAAGTAATGGCCAAGGCTTGTATTCTGGTGGGCCATTTGAAATGGAAAAATCATGTGACTGATACCTGTGCTGTCTACTAAAAGAGTTGTAAAAAGATCAAATAAGTGTAGCCTGATGGTTAAGAGTGTGGACTCTGAAGTCAGGCCAAACTAAATTTCAGAATCATTCTGTTATTAATACTTACCTCCTTTGTGCTTATGATCAAGACCCTTTACTTTTCTGAGCTTCATTCACTTTGTGCATAGAAAGGGGAGACAGAATATTTTCTACCTCTTAGGATGGTTATGGCCATTCACTAAACAAAGTTTATTAAGCACCTGCTTCTAGTTGCTGGAGATTATAAGTGCATTTAACAGACAAATTCCCTGCTTTTAAATGAGGTAATACAGTAAAGCACATAGAAATCCCCTAAAAATATTAACCATGGCCCTACACCCCTCATTACCCCAAAAGGAGATCTATCTTAAAGCTTTGGGTGCTATGCAGATTTTGGTGGTATTTTATAATTAAAGCCATTAGAGACATCTGTTTAAAAGATAGTCCAATACATTCATATGATTCAAAAAGAATGAAAGTATATAATAATAAAGTATCCTCCCCACCTGTGTCTTCCCTAGCTACTTGGTTTCCCTCCCTGTGGCCGTGACTCTTTGTTTTTTTATGTGTGTTCTAGAAATATTTTGTGCATATTTCAGAATGTGCAGTTTTTCTCTCCTTAAAGGATCAGTTAAACAGAAATTATTTTGATACTGGCTGAACAATCACTTGTTTTTATATTGCTTGAGAAAGAACTGATGCTTATGTTTTTCCTTCACAGAGGCGAACTGCTGCTATGGGATCTCACCCAGTCCTGGAGACGGAAGTACACCCTCTTTAGCGCTTCATCAGAAGGGCAAAATCATTCAAGAATTGTGTTTAATTTATGTCCTTTACAAACTGAAGATGACAAACAGCTGCTACTTTCCACATCAATGGATAGAGATGTAAGAACTGCTTATTTGCGTTCAGCATTATAGAACAGTGATTTACAAGTTGGATGGAATTAGAGGGCTTTTTCAAACCACCCATCAGTCTTTACACCCCACCCCTGGCTCCAATTTCAGAGTTACTGTTACTGATCAACACTAAATATATCAATAGTATAGAAGGAGGGGAAATGTGAGGAAACCACCAAGATGCTTTTTTGTTAAAGCAGACGTAATAAAGAAGAGTAGATGTGTCCAGGGAGGTATGTATGAGATCCTCATACCGTGGGCTATCTAGGTCTGTAGTTTAGGTAGCAGAATGGTTTACTATTGGCGAGATCTCTCTGAGAGAGAATTGGCTTTATATAAATACGATAGTCTGTAACCTTACTGCTTTGCAGTTAAGCTAGGTATATTTGATAGACTTTGTTTTCTCCCAGGTCCTTCTTTTAAACAAGTGATGATCCCTGGACATGATGAGATATTTTCCTTTTTAAGATAGCAGTTCTTTGATTTTTTTCCACTATACTGAGGCCATCTTCATCCTTAGAGTTTGCTGAATGAGGTTGCCAATACCTAATGGAATGGAAAGAGCACTGAACTCCAGGAGAGAGGAAGCGTGGGTTCTGATTTATTTGATATGTGACCCTGAATTCACTTGCCATCTCTGGGAATAAATATATTCCAAGATCCTGTTCGGCTATGTAATTTATTACTAATATTTTTTCTAAAAGATACTTTTTCCAGTTCCTACTGGAAGATGTAAAATGACATTATCCTTTCCCATCCTTTGAGCCTACGTTATTTGAAATATGGATTCTTTTGCTTATTTCTCTGCTCTTTTTATGTATAAGCCCTTACTCTTAATCTTTTCAGATAAAATGTTGGGACATGGCCACCCTGGAGTGCTGTTGGACCCTGCCTTCCCTTGGTGGGTTTGCCTACAGCCTGGCTTTCTCTCCTGTGGACATAGGCTGTTTGGCCATAGGTGTTGGGGATGGCATGATCCGTGTGTGGAATACACTCTCCATAAAGAACAACTATGATGTGAAAAATTTTTGGCAGGGTGTCAAGTCCAAGGTTACAGCGGTAAGGATGCTTTCTTTGAGCTTGTTTTGAACTTTTTTCCCTATAATTCTTTTATAGAGAATGTCTGTTCATTTAAACGAACTCTTGGAAATCAAAAGTTGTTTAAAGGTATTTTCAATGAAGTTTGAAACTAGGAAAGCAGAAGGACCCTCTAACCACATCCCTTGTCCCGAAATTCAGAATTATAAAGGCTTCGTTCATCTCACCATGTTTTCTAATAGTAAAAAATTAGAAATAACCTGAATGTGTGTCCATAAAAGATACATTAACTTATAATATAACCACATGTTGGAATGGCATTGAACTGTTAAAAATGATAACATAGATTTTTTGATATGGAAAGATGTTATAAATGATTCATGAAAAATACAAATTATAAAACAGGGAATGCAGGTTACAAAGCAGTATATATAATTTTTTGTTTGCTTTTCTCTAAAATGGTACCACTATTGTAGCTATTTAGTCTAAAAGCAATAAATGTGGTTTAAAAGAAAAATCAAACTATACAAAAGTATTGAAAGCAAACATTATTTTCTTATCCTACACTCCATTCCCCTACTTCTATAATCCAGAGAACCACTATTGATAATTTATAATGTCTTTCCAAATTTTCTTAATTATTAGTAGAATCATATTTTCTAAATTGTTCTAGAATCTTTTATTCCCACTCTAGTATATGATGTACATCATTTAAATGTTTAAAGCTGCTTGTTTTCAATTGTGTATCTTAAGTTTACTCATGAAAATGTCTGGGAAAAGAGGTATAAAGTTGACAGTGGGGTTTTTTTTTTAAATAGTGAGATTACAGATGACTTTGTCTTTAATGCTCTTCGTCTTTCTCTTTTAAATAATGAGAATTAGAAGAAATCAAGAGCAGGGAAGTTTTCCACTTGAATGTTTGAAGGATAATGTAAGGATTCCCTTAACTTCATGCCCCTTTTCCTATATATTCTCACTTCGGAACTCTTTTTTTTATAGCTGTGCTGGCACCCAGCCAAGGAAGGTTGCTTAGCCTTTGGAACTGATGATGGAAAAGTGGGATTATATGACACCTACTCCAACAAGTAAGAAATCAGTGATTTTTGTTTAGCTCATTGACCAAAATGTGGCATGATAAGTTTAATATTGAGTTCATAAACTGGATGTACATCAAAATTGCATAGGAGGCTTTTTAAAAATAAGATTCTGGCTCTGAGACAAGTGCAGAGCTTGCCATTTTATTTTTAAAAATTATTTTCAGATGATGATGGTTCAGCCTGTCTGACCTTTGGGAACATGTTTTGTTTTTATGAAAGTTTTCAGGCATACAAGAAAGTTGAAAGCCTAGTACAAAGAACATCTATGTACCTTCTTTCTAGATTCACCATCCATTAACATTTTGCCATTTTTATTTTATCTGTGTGTGTGTGTACCTTCATATATGTGTTTTATCTGAAACATATGAAACGAACTTTAATACATCATGACTCTCCTCCCTTAAAATTCAAAGACTAAAGACATTCTTTTATGTAACCAAAATATCTTAATCACACTTAAGAAAATTAACAGTAATTTTATAATATTATCTAATATCCAGTCCATGTACACATTTCCTCGGTTGATCCAAAAATGTTTTTTCTAGTTCTCTTTTTTTCAGTTTACTTTTCAGTTAAGGTTCATACATTGCATTTTGTTATGTCTCTTTAATCTCATACTGTAGAGTAATGTCCCCC